TTCTAAAATTTAATCGAATTTTTAGAAGCAACATAATGTTTAAAAATATATAAGGTATACAATTACAAAATCCATGAGTTAAATACTGCCACAAAACAATCTGCCAGAAGATATTTAAGGATTACTGAAAATGATTGTACATTCTTTGTAGTAAGCAAAGTTTCAATATACCTTTAATATTATTAATATTCCTATATTCTAGGTAATCTACTTGACATTAAGATATCTGATGTCTTACTGTGCAATATTAATGATGTTAGAAAGTATTTTTATGTAAGTTTCCTGAAACTACACCTTTTAGAAAAAATATTTGAAAAACTGCCTATTTAATGGTGACTTTGTATTACTTTCTTTAAAATAAGCACTGAATTTTGATTATAAAAACTAAGAGCTTTACTTTTAATTCACATGAGCGTTCAACAAATATCGTGGAATGAATTCTTCTATAGTTCCATTTGGCTGGTAATAGTTTGAAAAGGATAGGCTGACTCTTAGGCCTGTTGAGAATATATCCCCTGCACTGTAACTACCAAAATAAATGACACAACATATACCCTCCTCTGATATCATAAGCAATTTAAATCTTCCCTGAGGTAAAGAATTTTTATACAATGCTATCAACATGTTCCCTTCTCTTTTAGTGATACCGGAACATATGAAGGGTTAGAATATAGATGTTTAATGATAGTGACTTCAGTACTCCTTCTTTATTCAGTAAATAAGACCTAGTTTGATATTTCCTAGCAGATAATTTTGAAATTCAAGCATTAAATAATGTTAAATGGTGTTCATGTTAATGATTTATATTACGTATAACTTTAACATTTTATATTAATAGGATTTGGAAATTTCAAATAGAATAGGGCATTTTAAATATTATGCTATTAAATTTAAAAATCATTTACTTTAATAGCCTTAAAAAAGAAAACCCCAGTTCCCAGAAATCACTAACTATATTACAGTCTCAGAAACACAGATGTACACATTAATAAAATGAATACTATTTCATATAAATGAAATGTACTAGATTAAACTCCCCTAACATAATACATGCTTAAAAATACTCTTTAAGGGGACAATACATAAATAAATACATACGGAAACAACTGCCACAAGCTCACTATTTTTAATTCAATAAACTACAGTGACACATAGGGCTTTCAATGTGCTGTTTTACTCACATGCTTTCTACATTAAAGCAAAGCAAATATAAATGAGTTCTTGCCAACCATTAGGAAAGATTGACAAAAAATGCAGTGTTAATGACATCTTACAGCTTTTAAAAGCAAGAGAAAGATGCAAGAAAAGCAAAAATTACATAGTAATTGGAAACAACGAATAAATTGGTCTTTCAATCTAAGTCATGTTTACTGAAAAAAATGGAGCTTTTTACATCAACACATTTAAACAGAAATTTGCTTTTGAAATAAAATCTTTGTTTAAAAGGTACAGAAAGTCTTTATGTTCACCCCAAGAGCTAAATATAGTGAATGCTATGTGAACAATTACCTGAAAAAAACCTAAACCTGTTAAAAGAATTAATTTACGGCACACCAGTCAGCACTAATCCTACACGTACAGTAATGGTCTCTTAAGTGATGGGGGAAAGAAAGAATAAAACTGTTTCCTGGATCAAAACCCTTCAATATTCAACAACAAAATGGAATGATGATTTGGTTTGTAAATGAATAAAGTAGTGAAATGTCTCCTAAACAAATTCTGATAAGGGAGTCAACCTGCAAAGCAGCACATTTACTGTACGCTGGGACAGGAAAAAAGCCATCACTGTAATGGTTGTACAAAAACTGTGTCCTGCTGTTGGGTTTATATTCACAGAAGAAAGGTTTTAAAGGTTAAGTTCAGGTCATACAACAAATGAAATTGTAACAAGCCAGCTGACATTGTATAATGTCTTCTTCCACTCAATCAATAGGCTACTGTTAGTCCTATTACCATAGAGATGGCTTCTCCTTTTTGAAGGGTGTCTATTGTTTGACAAAACAGATTTGCCACTTGAACTAGGTTATTCCCAAAGGACGTGTACCTTGTCAATTATTTGTATTCAAAATAATAAAGTATTTTCATATTAAAATTATGTAAGAGATAATATTGTTAGATCCCTTTTCTGAAGGAAAGCAACTTTTCCAGAGCACATACCATATTATTAAAACCACTCAAATACCTAATTTAGTCATATAAGAGATTGAATTTAAAGCACATGTCAGCAAGTATAAAATATATCATTAGCCATGTATATTAAAAGAAAAGCGTTATAGGCTAGCGTGCTAATCTAAACCCATTATAATCAATCATAATAATTAATAAAAGATATTTTTAAAGAAAAGTACTGTCCAGAGCTATCCGGATTCTGCAAATTTGTTTTTAAGATTTTTATTTATGATTTTTACAGTGGTTCTCATGTGGAATGGCATCCCCAATTAATAATGTTGAAAAACATGGAAGTTTTAGAAAATGAATCCCTTTACTTGCACAGAGCTATTTATAGCTACATAACATTTAAATAGATGTATATGTCACATAAATGATCTAAAATACAGACTATCAAAATGAACATATTAGTTTTCTTTAAATGTTTTTGTTCTAAAGTATCTTGTGAAAATTAACAATGTACTCATTCAATACAGAACAAGGAAGTTCCTGTTCAACCTAGATATTTAAAAACAAAAACCACTTTTTCTCTCAGTGGAAATACTGACAGATTCTTAATCACAAAACACTCAGAAGGAACAATTCTAATAAAAATTATCCTAACCATTGAGAAAAAGAAAAATATTAATAGTACGAATGAATCTAAGCAGAGACATTATTTTAAATATTTCATAAAGACTAAAATAACAACAAATGTAATAATACAAAAATTTTGGAAAAGATCAAGTTATAATACTTGAATCTGAAAGTTTTTTCACATGCAGATTAAAAGTAAACTTTTGAGTTATAGTTATACTAACTCTTATCTTTCTATAAATAATTAAAAGAGATTTAGAATTTAGCTAAAGGGTAGTATTATGACTTTAACACAAATAAAAATATTGGTCTCCAAAAATGACATTTGAAATTGTACCTATTCAAATTATATTTACATACAGAAATCATTTGTTTTATAATAAGACAAGCAAAAGTTTTTAGAAGAAGTGTCTTAATTTGGTTTTTCCTTTTGCAGAAAGTGTAATTTGTATTTTTCACTATAATCCTCTTAGGTATAGGATACACGGAGTTAAGAATGAAGGAGACAGAAACATCAAAGACAAATGAGTCACCGGCATTCTAAACTAAGGACCAATGTTTTAAAAGCAGGGTAGCCTTCCCAACTAAGAAAGTCTTCTATCAGTGAAGTACTTGGGATCTAATTTGCCTACCTTTCCTACAGCCATAATGGAGCAGAGTGAAACCTTACTAAAACCACATCCCAAATTTATTTCCTTAGTTAATAACCTTATTTCAAAAAGTATACATGCTCATATTTAGAATATAATACAATTAGCCCTGGACCTGACAGGCAGCTGCCCATCAGCAATACTGTGAGTAATTAAATGATATTTACCACTTACCAAAAGATGAACCTCATATTGTTGAATTAAACTGGCCCATCTGCATCTTCATAAAATGACAAACCTCATTAGTTCTGCCTAATCAGAGAATTGTGATAATGAACTGTCGACACCTTCACTCCATTGTATGAAACAAAACCAACTGCATTTGAGGGGCCAAATGCATATGAAATTATTATAAATTAAGAAAGTGAAATCACATGTGTTAGGGAAACCAAGCAACAAAAGATGTTTTTAATGCATGTACTTGAGCCATAAGAAATCTGTATCTCCAACTGCTCAAAATTAATTTTAACTAATCAACTACTTTACCTGAAAACGGTGAAAAAAAGTAACGATGCAGCTACTGCTCCAAATAAGCCACAGAGAAGATTGACGCGGTAGGCAATTGAACCAAAAGGAAACAGTGTAATTGCCAGTTTAGCCACCAGCGTGAACAAAGGATAGCCAGGAGGATGGGCAACCTACAGAAAAATTAGCAACAGTTAGAAGAAGGGTTTCATCTAGGAAAGGAAGAGTCACACAGGCCTTAATTGAAAAGCAGCCCTTTTCTCAGGCAACTATAAAGATTAGGCACCAATGATTAAATGTTTGAATAGTGGTTTTCTATTGTAATCCTCTTGTGGCAATACAAATAAATATTTTCTTTAGTGGATTTGCCAGCGTCTATCACATGGAGCGTCACCCAGAGAAAGGGTGACATATTTCATTGTCAGTTCTTAAGCAGTTTGTTCTCTGGGTTCACAGTACATTAGGGTCATTTAAAAGGCTATTGAAAAAAAGCAGGTTCTGAAATATCGTATTGGTTAGAAAGTTGAAAGACCACACTGCTATCGGATTACCACCATGCTGACAGTCGTAAGGTCTTGCCTAAAGGGATCATGCACCATAATAAAGTTTATTAAATAATAAACTTATTAAAACTGTTAACCCGATTTATTTTATTCTCCACAGCTTATACAAAATTTGGGGTGATAATAAGGCAGCTACTGTATATATAGTAAAGGCTTTGCTTTATAATTTAGTTTAATTGGATTTAAAACTTAAAGTAAATTGTCACATACTGTACTTATAAGTTACTAAAAACTGGGTTTGAAAATAAATTAATCTACTTTACTCCATGCTTAATTAAACTTTCTTAATTCCTAAAACTGTTAATGAGAGCATTGATTAAACAATAAAACTAATACTTACTCCAAGCTCATGTGCGGCTGTGATCAGTTCCCCTGTGAAAAAATAACGTAAAACCAATAATTACTATTAGAGAATGACACTCCTCCAAAGTTTTCAAAATCCAAATGCTTGCATTGGGGTTTTGCATTAATTTGACTGGATAAAACTGTAAATCTGTAGAGATTTAACAGCATGAAATAGTCTGAGAACATTTTCTCCCTTAGGTCTTATTGAACAAACTATCTTTGGTAGTCTTTAAGAAGTGGTCAGTGGAAATACAGGTAAATTCCGGTTTTTTAAAAATGCTTTTTTTCTCTCTTGAAAGTTGTATCCACTTGCAAATATACAAATACTGTTGGGGCACTAGTGTAACATGCTTTGTTATCCCTCAATAAATTAGCACAAAAGTCTATAAAGATGTAATCTTATGATAACATAAAATGTGCAGACATCTGAGGTTTGGACACTCCCGAAAATGTCCCATACTACCCTAAAACTGGCATTTGGATATCTTTTCCACATTAATTGCATTGGATATCTTTAAACAATTTCCAAGTGTTTATTAACTGCAGGTTATTTCGGTAAGGTCTACTGTAAGACATTTTTTCAAACCATTAAATAATATTCTTTACATAGTCCTTTATAGTTCCTCACCATTAGTGACTATTTCTAAAATTATAATGCAGTAATTAATGCTTATTTGTTAATCTTTTACATATTCAGAGCACAAGGACTATTTCTGACTCAACCCTGAATGAATCAATATTGATGAATGACTCATGAAAGTTACTAGTACCTATTAGGAAATATACTAATGTCCATTTCCTATTCTTTCATAGCTAGCAATACTCTGCTTCTAATTTCTGTCCCAGCTACAATTTAGACCTTTACTCTCTCTGGCCTGGACTATGGCAACAGACTTGACCCATCTTCTACTTCAATTCATGTTCATACTGAAATCACTTATAATCAACACCTGGCTTTCCCCCTGCCTACACACACACACACACACACACATACCCACCCACCCACCCACATGGCTGGATTGCATCCCTAGTCTAACATTTCTCAATGGCTGCTCTCTGCTTACTGAATGAAGTTCACATTCCTCAGCATGATGTTCAAGCTTTCCATGGTTTCAAGGTCCCTTTTCTAGGCTTATATCCATGAAACGTACGTTCCCTCCAGTCAAATCTGATTACCCACTGTTTCTCTGGAGTGGTCCTCTTTTGTACCTCTTCTCACTCATTTTCTCACCCTGGAGTATTTTCCCTAGCATTCTCTCCCTAAATCCTTCAAAGCCTAGTTCAATTGCCACCTTCTTGGTAACACCTTTCCTTAGACACCTGCTTCCCCAGCCTCCCCATCAGAATTAATCACTTCTTCCTCCTCCATAGAACCTGCTTGAGTCTATTTAGCACTTTAGATTGCCTTATATTCTGGTTGGTTTTCATTTCTCTCTCCCACTAAGTTTAAAAACATTAACCTATCCATTTCACGATCCTGCCAAGATACCAACACTTCTCCCCTCTGGCCACACACAATCAATTCAAGCCATGCACACAGAGGTCCACAAAAAGACACATCACATTGTCATCCTTGCTACTAAGACACCCCTGTCTTAGGTGAGTGACTGCATCATGGAAGTGTTATAAGGGCACCTGAAGACAGATTAAGTCAATTACTTACAGACATTTGTTAGATATTCAAGAGCACCTTAGAAACCAGCACATTTTATATCCTAAATGCTTCTTTTTAATTAGTTTATGGTCTCACAATGTCTCAAAGAACTGTTCCCTTTGTTAACTACCGTAAAGGATATGATTTTACAGTTTACTCCATAACGGATTAGCTCTGAAGTCCTTAGCGCCAAACTATTTTCATCAATTTTTTTGGTTCTTGTATGTTTTTGTGACGAAGTCACCATAAGTTCAAAATTTCAAGGTCACTATTCATTCTCCTCCATTTAAAATGTATTCAGAATTATATTTAACATTAAGAAAAACAGCCTATTTTTCTCTAACTTCTTTTTACCAAGGAAAAGTCAGTGTGCTGTTATTATTTCCCGGAGTTCTGCTGCTATAAAGATAAATCTGGAAAGTGACAAACTTCCATCAGTTCTTATCAAATGTTAAAGTAAAATAGAAATACAAAAGATGCCCCCATTCTAAATGTATCTTTGATAAAGATCTAAGGGGAAATACTACTCTTAAATTCATTGTGATAAAGAGGAAGTGAATAGCAAAAAAAAACCTCAGTTTCCCAAGTCTTGGCTTTCTCCCAATCCTTTACACGAAGGGTTCCTCTGAGTTATGTCTACCTGCACCAGAATTAATCTGCTTTTTAAAAATGAAGATTCCCTGCCCATACCACTAAATTCCCTAATCTACTAAGACCTACTGGCACTGGGGGCTCAAGTGTCCCAGGTAATTCTGAAGTACGTTCCAGTTTGAGAACCACAGCTTTGTTGTCTGCAATACAAACTAATGGCAAGCCCAGAGTTGTCAGCGGATCCTTAACCTTTACAAAAACCAGCTTTATATCATACTTCTCAATATTAATTAGACTAGATTGTCACACATCACGTCTGTTAAAGACAGTCTCATGTACAAACTAATTTAGTGAAGGCCAGCTTCCTACCCCCTCCCCGAAAAGCACCACGAGCACCCCTGCCCATAAATGAACTATGTGTGTCAAGTGGTACAAAGAATAATTTTGGCAAGACCACACAATGTGATAAATCTATGGAGTAAAATTTAAGACTTATCAGGAAGAAGAATACATGCTTTGTACTGGTTTTGAGATGTGTTCTGTTTATTGATGAAAATATAATTCATAAACAAATATTCAAGAATAGTACATTCAACATGTAAACACAATTATCAAATATACGATTAAGCAAATTTTCCATATTGGCATATACTTGGAAAACAGTTTATTTATCATTCCCAAAAATGAACATAAAAATATTAGAAGCAACCACTATTTAACATGAAACCAAACAAATTAGAAGCACCTAAAGTTTGGTAACTCAAGGTGAATACACAACTTTATTCTTCTGGGAAAAAATAAAATACAGTATTAATAAAGGCAAGGCAATAAACATTTTAAGTAGATTTTAAATATCACTACATATGTGATGATGGATTTAGAAAAGAATTTCTTGAAATGTTTTGACGAAAAGTAGAGGTTAAGGGGGCATATTCTAAAGTCAATATACTTGGGTTCTTTTCCTGACTACTCTGTGTGACTTTGGTCATAGCTTAGCCTTAGTTTTCTCATTTATAAAAGGAAAATAATGATCGCACCTACTTTTAAGGGTAGCTGAGGGGGTTAAAACAACAACCCATATAAAGCACTTGGAACAGTGTCTGGCGCATAGTAAGTGCTCAAGAAACTTCAGTTATTATAAATCTCACTCCCATCTTTCACACTCAACCAATCATAAGTAGCTGTCAATCTTTGTATTTTTTTACAGGTAACAGAACTACCTAACCTCTGAATAATGCCCTCCAGCATCAAAACTCTCACAACTATAAAGTTACTTCCATTATGAAATACAAATCTTGGAAACATGGTACAGAAACTCCCTACTACACGAATGAAACACTATCCGTATTTGTGCAATAGGACCCGAAAGAAGGTAACAATCTGAAGATGGAACATCAAGGATCTTCAATGTGGTAGGCAGCCCTAAATATGATCCCCACTAATCACCAACTCCTGGTATTCTCACCTGTGTAATCCTCTCCCCCTTGAATATGGGTTGGGTTTACTGATGAACTTCCAGGAATAAAATGGAGAAGTGGTATATCACTTACAGTATTCGGCTACAAAATGACACAGAGCTGTCAGACAGAGAGGTATCCTTCATCTTTTTCTTGACAGAAGTCAGTTAACTTATGGAGACCCACACAGCAAAGAACTAGATGGCGTTTCTCCCCAAATTGAGCCTTGAAAAGACCGCAGCCCCCAACCCACACGATGACAGCAAACTTGTTCTGAGTACGAGCAACTAGCTTAAACTGGACCCAGATTCCTAATTTACAGAAACGGGAGACGATAAACGTTTGCTGTTTAAGCTGCTCAATTTAAGGATAACTGGTCATGCAGCAAAAACTGCTGCTTCAGTCCACAGGTTCACCACCTGAAATTACAGCTCCATTCTGACAAAATCCTGGCCACGACATGGCATTATTGAATCCAAAAACAAAACATAGATCTTGTTTCTTGCCTCAAATATAAAACAATGTGATTTAACTGGCCGATGAGTCATGCTTTTCTTTTTCATAAAAACAGCCGCACCTGGCTTCCACCTTTTTAAGAGTCCTGCAAATATTCTGCATGGCTAGTTCCTTCTCAATATTCAGGTTTCGACTAAAATATCACCTCTTCAGAGGTCTTTCCTGAATAGCCATTCGGAAGGACCCACTACTTACCCCCACTCTCAATCACATTTCCCTCCTACCGTCTCCATAACTTATCACCAGTTTAATATGCTGTTTATTCATTAATTTGGGTATTGTCTAACCGCACTGGAACACTCGCAATTATCTGTTCGCCACTACTGTTCTCTTGTCTGAAACATAATAAGGACTCGGTGAGTAATATCTGTGGATTAAAAAAGGATGCAAATACTCAGGACCAGGAAAAAAGATCTGGGGAAGTGGAGAGGTCATTAAGCCCCACCAGGCGAAACCAACAATAAGCCCCATCTCGAAAGCCTGAGAACTAAAGAAACGAGAACGACAGGGATGGAAACAGAAGTGGGCTCTGGAACACACAATAGTGTCCTGTGCACAGGTGGGTGGATGGAGGCCCAGATCTGACCAAACCCAATGCCAAGAGCGGGGGCCAGACGCAGCCCCCGCCCGTTCTAGGATCAGGGGAGAGGGACAGGAGGGGCAACCCTGCGAGTACTTTACCCGAGTCTCCCCCAGGCACCGAGGGGGGCAGCGTGAGGGTGAACACTGCGGCCACGGCGGCGAACACCGCGATGCCGCCGCGGATGCCCCCGGAGCGCCGCGTCCCCACTCGGACTGCCCGCCCCCGGGCCTGGCCCCTGCCGTCGCCATGGGGACTCATGGGCCAGTGGCGACCGAGGAGGACACGCCTGGCCCAAGGACTCGGTGCGACACAGAGTTCCCCACTCGAGAGGCGAGCGCAGCCTGTGCGGCGGCCACAGCGACTTCCGGGTCGAGCCTCCGCGGATTGGACCGCACCTTTCTCCGACTGAGCGCAGGGAGGAGAAAATGCCAGGCCTCGCTTGAGCCAGGCCCTGGGAGTTTTCCCGCAGTGCACCACGCATTGGCTTTCACCTACTTATAATGTGATTTAAGGTTCCTAATCACCGGGAGAGCCTTCCCTTTAAAAAGCAAGCCTGGCCACAGCCCTACCGTCTCCATGCTGTTGCCCCCTTTTATACTGACTTGGTTGGGTCTGACAGAGACCAAAGCAGCATCGAAAACCGTGAGCGCGGAAGGGCTGCTCCTGCCCCCTACGGTGCGGGGTGGAACTGCACAAAAGGGCCATGATCAGCCAGGATCCCATACCTGTGCTAAAACAAAGGGTGGTGTATTTACTGTATGTGTGAAGTCAGTCAATAAATACATTAATCGCAATTATGTATTTATTACGATTTATTACGTTGCTATGATTAATTACAATAAGTCTTTGTGCTACTTATTAAATCACTGAGTAATTTTTAGAGAGATTAGAATATGCTAGTCTTTTTTTTTTTTTTTTTTTCCATTTCATAGCATGATGAAAACTCTGTAGATGAGTCGGGAAATTTGAGTTCCTGTATTCATGCTAATAACTCATACCATGATAAAGGTGTCTCCTAGTTTAATGAAGAGGAGTGTTTTGCTGGAGCTTTCGACACAACAAAGTGGGAAATGAAATTGAAACAGTATTTTACAATGAGCTGTAACGCAAAAAAAGAATCGGGTTTATTGATAGGACAACCACATAACAGTGCAATTAAGCTTTTTAAGCTCATATTTTATGTTATTAAAGCAATTATCCTGGAGTGGGAGGGGAGGAGGGCAACCCCCATAGAATGTATCTTGCAGACACACTGAAAACCAGTGACAATCTCAAATGTGTTACATGCAGTTTGATAGGGACACAGTGACTAAACTATAGAGTAACATATACGTACCTTGACGGTCATGGGACCAGCACACCTTAGTCTTTTCCAGGCACTTATACAATTTCCAACCTTTTCCAGATACTTTCTCAGCTGTACTGTGAGTTCCTGGAGGAGAGGGGCTGTGTGATAGAGTGCTTCTAAAATGGCTTCCCAGATAGCCCTGCCTCCTCACTCACTTCCTGTATAATCTGCTCCCTTTATGTGTGAGCTTAACCTAAGGATTGGTTTCTATCAATACAATAAGGCAAAGTGATGGATGTCAGTTTCAAGATTAGGTTATAAGAGACTAACTTTCATCTTGCTGGCCCTCCCTCTTATCCTCTCACTTGTTCTCTCTGATGAAACCACCTACCCCATATGGTGTAAGCTGCCCTGTGGAAAGTTCCGCATGGGAAGAAACTGAGAGTCACCTCTAGTCAACAGCTGGCAAGAAACTGAGACCCTCAGTCCAACAACCTTAGAGGAACTGAATCTAGGAAACACCATGTGAGGGAGTTAGAAGGTGGGTCCTTCCCCCACATAAGCCTTGAGATAACTATACATCCTGTCAAGACTGGATTGCAGCCTGTGGATGACCCTGAAGCAGAGGACTTAACTAAGCCTCATCCAGACTGCTGTCCCACAGAAACTGCGAGATAATAAATGTTGTTTTAAGTCGATAAATACAGGGTAATGTCAGTTATCAGCAATAGATAACTAAGATAGGCTGTCTTCTATTTCTTTGCTGAAAGAACATACCAATGAGTAACATTGACTGAGTCAAGCATATACTTCTTTCCCTTTTTACGGATTTCACTTTTGCTTATGAGTTTTATTTTACAATTTTTTATTTTGAAGGGGAATAATTCTTTGTCCATGTCTGGGAGGTAGAGATTAGAGCTGGAAGTACAAATTTAGGAGTTTCTCGTGTAAGGATGATATAAATGACTAACTCAATAAGGAGATAGTGTAGAAAGAACAAGGCTGAGGTCTAATGTCAGCCCATATTCTCATTTAGGGAATGGTTGGAGAAGGGAAGAGAACAGTGGAAGGGAATGAGGCATCATCAGAGGTTAAAGAAGGAAAGTCAATGAAGTACATGTGGTCAGGATGTTACAGAGAGGTAAAGGACAATGAAGAAAGGCATGTCTAGATTTTGTGAAGCGCAAGTGTATAAACCTTGGAGACCTAACATCATCAAGGTATTTAATTAGTAGACTAAAGGACCTTCCATGTAACGGATTTATGTCCTCCGGATCACAGACGTAGTTAATGATCCAGTACATGGCTCCTGCCCTAATACATGTTCTTCTGTCTCATGTTTCCTGCATTGATGTTGTCAAGATTTGAAGAAAAATAACCAAGGGATAGACAGGTGTATAACATCTCGATGAGTTTAAAGTAGTTGATAAAATGAATAGTTTCATGCATATGCATACAAATGGCAATTCCACATATAATTAAAGTTTCCCTGCTATGGGCTAGCAGTGAGTGGTCTCTGTGCGTATAGCAATGGAGTTCCTGGATGGTGCACTTTGAACATCAATAATCCAAGACCCCAGTGGCCAATGTTGCTGTATGCTAATGCTCTCTCCTTCTCCCTGACGTGAAATTCTTATGATTCGAGTCATTCAGCCACACTAAACACTAAAGTTGGAAATGTCTCCAGAAGTGTCAGTTTGCTTGTGATTATCTAATCTTGGAAAGAAAAAAAAAAAGCATAATAGGTGTCAGACTGTATTTTAAGGATTTTCTGAGACTAATACTTTCCTACCCCTTTAGAAAAGAGCTACACTAATTGTTGGGATTTAGAAGAAGGCAAATATTGGCTTAAAAATGTTTCAGGAGTCAAAAGACAAGTTAGTGTTTTCACAACCAATTGGAAGAGTGTCAAAGTTAAATTTATCTTCCTAAGGTAAGACAGATCATTTTTCATTTGCCTGGGTCTTAGGAGTGAATAAGTGAGGGAGAAGCCCTTTACTTCTCACAGACCCCAGTGGGAAACTGCCTTTTCTCTGAAAAGTGGGAGTGCCAATAAGAATGGGAATCCAAATGGAGTAGGGAGAGGAAAACACTTCAGTAGGTCGGGGATCCACATACGCCATGACATCTGGGACTGGCACTATGTATATTAGATGATGCCATAGATCCATTCCTACTGTTTGCATCTCCCCATGTGGGAAAAGTGAGATGCCGACAGTTGAGTCCTCATCTTGGGAGGATATCATGGGCAAGTCCACAGTAAACCATATGCTGAAATGAAGACTGTCTGAACATGCAAGACTTCTATCAGGCATTGGAAGGGGAATGGCAAACTGGGCAGGTAATGCCATTCCTAGTGTTTTATTTTTCCACAAACCCAATCAAAGGGCTTTGTTTCTCTGTGGTAATGCCTCATGTTGAGTATGTTATTCTGTTGAACCATGTGGTTGGGCTCAGCACATCTGGAATAAGCAGATTATAAATCAGTGGAGGTAGTCCAGGGGACCATTTTGCAAATGTTACTAAGATTCAAATACACTACCCAAGGGACACATGAGAGTTTTCTTCCCTGTGTACATGAATAAAGACAGGTTTAATAGGTTTTAGAGACTTTATCTTGAAAAGCAATGTCTTAGACACAAGAGAAGTACATAGAGCACACGTGTTTATAGAAGGGGGGGAAGGTCGCAAGAGCAGCAGGAGTGGGAACAGGGAAGGAGCAGGCAGCACGCGTGGGCTGCAGGAAACTGTCATGAGCGAGAAGATGGTTCTCTCATCAGAAAGCCACTCTTGCTAGAGCCCGCCAGCATGGAGTGCCTGGCCTACCAGGAGCTATACTCCTTTCATGACTGTAAGGTAATAGTTATGTTTATGGTCTTTGGAGTTAGACTTCGAGTTCAAATCCCATCTCCATCACTCACTGGTTGGGCAAGTTACTTCACTTACCTTATTTTTCCCCATCTATTAAATGGAGATATCATGAGAATTAAATAAAAATAATCTAGAGTCAGAGTTTAGCACCCAGCCTGACACAGAGTAAGCACTCAACAAATGTGGGTTATTGTTATTATTCACTTTAGAAGTATCTATTGAGTATACTGTGTTCCAGGCTCTGTGTACTGGTAAACAATTACAAGTATGGCATGCATTGTTTCTCTCCTCCCAGAGCTCACAGACCAGCGGGAGATACAATACACAATCTGGCAATGACAACATTGTATTAAAAAGGGGTATGACTGGGAAAATGCAGGGTGTTATGGGATCACGGTGGCTTCAAAGAAGCTGAGACTTGAAGTAGAACAGGAGTTCACCAGGTGAGGGCTGCTGGGGGAAGAAAGAAAGGGTAGCGCACAGGAAGACCTAGAGTTAAAGAGGAATGGTGCACTGAAGCCAGTAGGTCTGTGGGCCTTATGTGCCGAGGACAGAGTAGGCAGTCTGTGGGCCTTATGTGCCGAGGACAGAGTAGGCAGTCAAGGGTGATGCTGAGGGCATGGGTTGTGAGAGGACACGTTATGCAGAGATGGTAACTCAGGTGGAGGAGACAGGAATTTTAATTCACACCACAAGGGCACATTGGCTTTACTTTAATAAGTTTTGAATCCGTGTCCCACTTGGTTGTCAGAATATTCACTCAGTCATTACTGGGGCTCCTTTTTTCTCCAGCCCCACCCCACCAGGTTCATATGTGAGTCTTGGGAGCTTACACAGCCACAGCATTTGGGGCTTAATCTGCACAGTGGCCTATGCTGATGTGCTCATTGTCCACATCCACATGGTCTCTTGAAAGCAGGTGCAAGCAACACCAGTGCCACGTTTGAGCCTGCAGAGGTTTTCCCCCTCTGGATACCAAAGACACGGCTCTCTGTGAATAGCACCGTCCTAGTTCCCGTTAATCCACTTCACCATCTTCCATTGGTCCTTAGTCTGAAGTGTTACTAACAAGTGACTCAGGGCCTCTATCTGATGAACACCTTTCAGAAACTCATCTCTTAACTCTGGAAATCTCTCTCAGCCCTCTAGTTTGTCTACTTCTGTCACTCTTAAACACCCAACTCTTGACCCCTTCCTCTCCTTCTCTGGGACAAGCTAACATCCATGAGCCCAAAGGTCACAAATAAAATCTGGGACAGGAGTTATCTTCTT